TATGTTTTGTTTTTTGTTTTTTTTTTTGAGACAGGTTCTCACTATGCAGCCTAGGCTGGTCTCGAACTCACAGCGATCCTCCTGCTTCAGCCTCCCTAGTGCTCCGATTACAGGCATGCACCACCACACCCGGCTTTATATTCTTATTTTCCTACTCCCCTCAATTTTAATAATTCATTGGTATTTGTAGCTATAAGATAGAGACAAACCTCCTCAAGAGTTAATGCTTAACACTTTATGGGGAACTTGGATCAAGAAAATTTGAAAATTTAACTACATACATTTTCTTTAAATAGTCATATGTCTCTCATAGGCCTATTGTTATTGTCAACCAGCCATCATCTGCAAGTTTTATTTCTTCTTATGAGCAGAGGAATCTCCAACAGGCTCAGATCACATCGCTGGGATCAGAAGGGCTAAACACTAATGGACAAAGAATTACTGTGCAATTCCTTATCCCTCAGTAGTACTTGGTTGTTGGTTTGTCTCTGGATGTCCATTAACAATTGTTTGTATTTGCTCAAGTTTAAAAGATGGGAGGTTTTTCGTATCCAGTTCAAATTTAAACTAAAAGGATATAGTGAATTGATAGCATCATTCTATAATTTGGAAATAGTATAATAAATGTGATCCCTTCCACACTACTCAAGAAACTAATATTACAAGGATTCTGAATAACAATTCAACATTGATAATTCATTTAAAGCATTTAATTTCATTTCAGTAATTTCATTTAAAAGTTCAGAAAAAAGTACAAAGTATATCCCATTGCCTTAAATACTATTACTGTATAAAAAGCAGTATCTTCCAAAACTGTATTACTCATATAAAAAGATATATTAATATAATTCATTACTATATTTGAACCATGCTATTTCTCTTACTGGAGAATATAAAATGTAAGAGTATACATGAAATTGTATTTTATAAACATACAAGTATTTTCTTTCACTGACTTGTTTCCTCCTAGATAACAGGTCATAAACAGTATTTAATAAAGTTAGTACAATTTAGGACTAAAACTCACATATTTTTAGAATGTATTTTATTATACTTTTCCAATTTATGTGTTAATGGCTAGCTACCTTTTAAAAATAAACAAGTTTTTCCCCCTTAAATTTAATCTTTTCATTATCTCACATTGTTTTCTTTTCCCTTATTACCCTTTCCCTACCCATCCCACCTACCCTACACCTTTAGCTCCTCTCTTCCCATTCTAAATGTCAGTAATCTTATTAGGATCTTATGTACTGCACTATATCCCTAAAATGTACCAATAAACTCAATTAAAGCTGAAAAAACAAACAAAAATAAACAAGTTTATTCTTTTTAAATCAGTAAAACTAGTATTTTGTTTAATATAGTCATTGCAATGAATGCTAAATCTATATTTTTAAAAGTTAAAGCAAGTATATCTCAAAAAATGTTCATTCAATTGTTGTGTAGGTATATTTTTGTTCATTTTTAATATATAATTCTCTTTTTAAGATAAACAAAACAACCTATAGTCCAATAATACACAGATGGTGTAACTTGCAATTAATAGTTATCTTTAAAGTAAAGCGTTTCACTGTTAGAGCTCATAAATTAAACTAAATAAATTGTTTATTTTTAGGTAGTAAAGATTAAGCTGAAAATGTGTATGTAATATACATAGAGGGTAAAAACAAAACACAAACTAAAACAGACATTAGGTGCATTTAGTAGGATATTTTTGTAACACAGGGAATTTTGGAATCATTAACGTTGCAAATTTAGAAAATGTTAAAATAGTGTAACATTATTGTTTAGTGGTAACATTTTAAATTCTGTGTGTACAAAGATGCTTTTGAGTGAGACCAATTTCAGTTTCAATTTGATATTTGTGTCTAATTAGATGTGCTCAACGCTCATATGAAATGAT